TGACGAAGCGGCTGCAGGTCTACGGTGCGGCGAAGGTGGCGCTGGAGAAGCTGGGCGCCAGTTAGCGACTGCGGCGAGCTCTGGTCGCTCGGTGCCGCAGGGTGCCTTCTAGCGCGAACGCGAAGCTTGGCGACGCGGTCTACTTCTACCGCGAGGGCAAGCGCAAGAACCGGCGGAGGAAGGGCCCAGCCTTGATCTTCAAGGCCTGGAACGGTCCGGCCGTCGTCATCGGAGTCGAGCCGGCAGCCTTCTGCGTCTCGCGCGAGGGGCTGTCGACCATGTGCGACCCCGCGGCGGCCCGCCGCGCGTCGCCCGAGGAGGCGCTGGGCACTGGCGCCGGGGGGGTATCATGGAGCAGGCGCGGCTCGAGATGGAAGGCGACGGGGAGCTAAACATAGAGGGCGCGACCAAGGCGCGCGAGGACGAGGAGGGCGAGGTCGACCGAGCTGACCGAGATGAACCCAAGGCGCCGGAGGCGGAGGCTCGACCTTCTCAAGCCGAGGAGGCAGTGGAGGACCACGCTGAGCAGGAGGGGCAGCAGCAGCCGGCGAATGAGATTCCTGCGTCGGCTGCGGTGGTTGCGATGGCCCGTGCGTCGGCCAGCAATTCGCTCGATCCAATTCCGAGCGCCGAGCTCTCGAGGAAGACGAGCTTTCGGTAAAGCGGGAAGACGGAATTTCTGCATGATGTGGCGCAGCGGCTGCGTGACCAAGGCGAAGACCCGAACGAGGCCAAGGCGCTGCGCGTGGTCGAGACCATCCTGGGGCGCGTAAGTGAGGTGCGAGAGCGGCCTGTGCCTTCGACCGCTCGATCGGCGCGGGTGGCGAACATCCTCCCGGAGGGCCAGCTCGGGCCCTGCCGCAATTTCGCGCCAGTGACTCCTCCGCTCGAGGAGGCCGAGGCATCTCGGGGGCCCGCGGCGGTCCCGCAGCGGGCAGCGCTGGGGGGCTTGCCCAGAGGTCGGAATCGCGACGCGGAGGAAGCTGAATTGCCGGAGGCGCCGTCTCGGGGAGGACGTGATGGGCCGCCGGAGCCGAAGCGCCCCGGCGAGGCGCTCTGGGTCAAAAGTGTGGCGAAGAGAGCCGCGGCATGGTTCAGGGGTGCTCCTGCGGCAGACCGACAGCGATTCCTGGGCCACTCGAAGGAGGTGCTGGCCACCGACCCCGAGTTCGAAGCGATGCTCGTGCAGGGGCAGGCTCGGAAGGAGAAGGTCCGGAGTCTGATGGGTCCGCCGACCGCGGCGAGCTGCGAGGAGGCGGCGCAGTGGGCCAGGTGGATCGACGCTGAGTCCGCGGAAGTGCCGCTGGAGAAGGAGTCCGCCGAGCTCAAGGGGGGGGGATGAAGCGCGACGGCAACTGGGTACTGACCGACAGGAACGACCCGCTGAGGACGGAGGCGAACGACCTGCCGCTGAAGGCGAACGCGAGGCTCGTGGTCAATAGTGGCGACCCCGGGCGCTCGGGCGAGAAGGCCAGCGTGCGAATGGGCGCCCCTTGTGCGACCGCGCAGTTGGAGATGATCCTTGCGCCCGTGGCAGCGTCGCACCCGGAGTGGAAGGTCGGGTCCAAGCGCGTGAGTGGCGCCTTCCTCAAGGGCGAGGCGGACGGGCGCGGCCTGGTGATGCGCGCTCCCATGCGCGGCCCCTCGCACGCAGACTTCCCGCGAGGCCGACTGGCAAGAGTGCGTGTGTGTGTGTGTGTGTGTGTGTGTGTGTGTGTGTGTGTGTGTGTGTGTGTGTGTGTGTGTGTGTGTGTGTGTGTGTGTGTGTTTGTTCGGACAACCTGCAGCGCCGAGGCTGTGGCAGCTGAATCTGGTCTCGGCGGCGCGCAAGCTGAGACTGGAGCCCGCTCGCTCGGGCCCCGCGTTCCTGATGCTGCGCGGCCTGAAGGCGAAGAAGCGAGGGCCCGACAGCCTGTGGGGCTGTGTCTGCATTCGCGTGGGTGATTCCCCTGGACGTGGGACGTCAAGGTGGCGAAGGTGATGGGGGCGCTGGGCAGGGAGTTCGGCTTCGGTAGCGAAGAGTGCGATAACATCGCGTTCTGTGGCAGGCGGTTTCAGAGACAGCCTGGAGGGGCCATCCGCGATCGACGTGATGGAATACGCGGCCGGCCTGGATCCCGTGGCCGTGCCCGGGGGCCGGCCCATGAACGCGACGGAGTGGAAGCAGCGCCGGCAGGTGGTTGGCAAGATCAGCTGGCTTGTGACCAAGCTGCGCGTGGACTATTCGTGCGACCTGGCGGTGCTGCAGCGCGAGAAGGGGCGCGAGAAAGGGCCGAGGATCTCGGCGCTGATCAAGGCGAACCTGGCGTCGAGGGAGCTGAAGCGCGACTCGACGTTCCAGCTCGTCATGCGCCCGATCGACCTCGAGCGGTTCGGCCTGGTGGTGGTGTCGGACAGCTCGCTGGGCAACGTGATGAGCGACGGAACATCGTTGGTGACAGACCCGGCGACGGAGAGGATTGACACTCAGACCGGATTCCTCATCTTGCTCGCGGATCGGGAGCTCGTGGGCGGCGGCGTCGGCGGGTTCTCATTGCTGGAGGGCCAGAGCCATAAGCTGAAGCGGGCGTCGAGGAGCTCCTACGCGGCGGAGTGATTTCCGTGGGCGATGCCGTGGATGTAGCTCAAGGGATGCGCGACCAGATCGCGGAGATGCCATATGGCCCCGTGACAAGCGGCGCCGGCATGGAGTTGTCGGGGTGGCAGGTGCTGATGACGGTAGTGACTCAGTGACGGACTCGAAGGGCGGGCGCGACCGGGTCAACTCGGGCGCGGGCGTGGGCAGCTCGGCGCAGAAGTCGGTCAACCTGGAGGTTGGCCAGTATCGGGGAGATTCTTCTCGACCGGCCGCAGACGGCGGTGCGCTGGGTGGACGGACGGACAGCTGAGCGACGTGCCGACGAAGGATATGCCGGCCGACCACCTTCGAGAGACGCTTTCACGCGGGACCTGGAGTGTTGAGTTTCATGAGGAGATGGCGAAGACGGCTCTGCGCGTGGCTCGAGAGCGCTGTGTGGCACGAATGAAGGAGCTGGTGAAAGCCGGGAAGTTCACACCGAGTGCGCTTGAGCCGCAGGGAGACTAAATGATATCGTTTTTCTCCTCTCCTCTAAACTTTCTTGTGCCGATGCTAGTGCAAGTGTGTGCGCTTGCGTGTAGTGCTGTGTGTCAATTGTCTACTCCTGCCTCCTCATCCTTGGAGTGCGATGTCCGACTGGGCTCGAGAGTCCGCTGCGTGTCGAGAGAGTCAGCGACAGGTTGTCGCTGCAGTTGAATTCTAGAACTCTTCGAGAAGTGATACTGATGTGGATTCGCTTTCATATTCAGATTGCACTCGCGGATCGCGACCGCGAGGCCCAGCTTTCTACGAGTTTTTTCTCAAACCTTTTTAATTGTATACATGAGCTTGCCTATTGCAGGTCGGCGTCTCGTTTCTTGCTGGGAGCGGGCTCGAGACTGCAAAAATGTCGGATCCGTGTTGAAAAACGCGGCCTCCCAGGCCCAGACTCGCCCCTGCTCCGTTTATTTCTCTTTCTTTCCCCTCCTGCTCGCTCGACGGACGCTCGTTTGGCTCTAGCCGGCTTGAGGTAAACTGGTTGCTGGGGCGAGTGGCCGAGGAAAGCGGTTCGGCCCTCTAGCGCTGCCGCCCGCTCGCCGCCGTGCCCCGCTGCGGGACTGGAGGGGGAGGGCGCTGCTGAGACCCTCGGTTCCGTGCGCTCTTGGGGCGCTCTTGGGCGCTCCCGGGTCCGTCTCGAGGCTCTCTTGGGCCCCTTTTGAGGCCATTTTGGAGCCATCTTGAGGCCTTGGACGGCCATGTGAAGCGGCGAGACGAGAAGGCACAATCATTGGTTTCCCCGAGGTTTTGGAGGGACCTTGCCTCTTGGAGGCCCTCTTGGATGTCTCGGAGGCCTCATGGAGCCGTCTTAGAACGTTCTTGGATCCTTTGGGAGCATTTTGGAAAACATTTGGAGGCATCTCGGGCTATCTTGAGCCACCTGGGCTCTCAGAGGTCCTCTTGGAGCCATCTTGGGCCATCTTGGATGCTCTGACCGCTCGCGACTGGCCCCATCCAGGTCCAGGGGGGGGTAGGGGGAGGGGTCAAGACACCCACCCGCCCGCAAGCCGTCTAGCTCACTCCCACCCGCCCTCCCTGCACATAAGTAATACCCGAACCTGAACATGTTCAGTGGTCGTCTTTGGATGGGCAGCTATTGGGCCCCAAAGCCGACCTCAGATGCGCGACGTTTGGGCGAGGTGCGCCACGCGTTCCAGGGGCGCCACGCGCGCCAGGCACCCCTGGGGCCCGAGTGTGCCAGGCATGCCTGGTGCGCCACATGCGCCACGTGCTCCGAATGCGCCAGGTGTGCCGCACACTCCAGCCGCGCCAGGTGCGCCGCGTTCGGGGCACGTGCGGAGTGCGTCAGGTGCGCCTGCGCACGTGACAGCACACATCGGGAAACATGTCGGCCCTCGCCATCCTTATCGAAAGCCGATGCCCATCATTGTGTCAGCTGGTCCTGCGCACAGCAGGTTACGCGCCCCCCCCCGCCGTCCCTGTCAAAAACCATTGGACAGTGATGGCGGGATGGCCGCGCATGATCCATGTTTAGCCGCGAGGTCGATTTTTTGTCAGGGATGGTAGCCGTGCGCGCAGCAGGGAATATGCTGACCCCCGCCGTCCTTGTCCAAAGCCATGCGAAGTGTTCGCTGACCCAAGACTGTGCCCCAAAGTGTACCGTGCATTGGCTTTTGACACGGATGGTGTGGGGGGCCGCATCGGGTTGGCCGCGCATGCTCCAAATGTGGAGGCAAACTGCGGCTTGTATTGTTTTTTGACATGGATTGTGGGGGGCGGGTGGGAATGGTGTCGGCATGGTGCCTGGGTCCCCCGGTCGCCTGGGGGAGGGGGTGTACATCAATAGGGAACGTTGATAAATCCCTTCCGAAGGGGAAGACTGGGGTTGGAAGAGGAACCATTCTAAATCACCTTCGCCCTGAAGGGCTCGTTGGATTTATCGTGAGGTCAAAGCCAACGTTTGGGACGAATTTCCAGGGTTCAAAGAGACCGTCAAAAAATTGCATGGGGAAGCGTTTTGGTTCGTTTGGATCGATCTTGACGAATTCTGGGTCCCGCCATCTTGGGCGGACAATCTGAGAGATGCAATAATGCCTTTCACTAACATGCGGACCGCCAGCTCACCAAAGGCCTTTCATGGCCATTGGCTTACTTTCGGGGAGAGTCCGTGGGCGCAGCGTCCCGCTCCAGGAACACCAGTAACAGTTGCTTTTACAAGACGACACCTTAAAACACATCCCATGTCAAAACAATTGTCGCTCATTGACGCAGTGGATTTTGATGCGGAAAACTGGAGCATGCATTCTATTGAACTGCGTGACCCGTACAGGAGATCTGGTTACAATATGTTAATTGGACCCTTGATTCTCTGGTGGGAATCATTCGAAGATATTGCCATCCTCACACACGTGAGTTTTTGCAGCCAGAGCAGCAGCGCTTGCTCTGGAACTTCAATCCGAGATATATTATTTGCGCTGAGCTTGCTACTGTTTTTGAGGTCAGCGCTAGGAACCTCGTGGCTGAGACAGAGAATACAGAAGAGATGGTATCTTACAGTGTTGTTGCTGGTTGCCTTTATTCAACTTCTCTTTTCCAACGTTTCTTTATTCAAGAGTGACGTCAGCGTTCAGTGAGAGCGGATGATAGCGCTGGCAGTGGTGTTTTCGCAAGTCTATTGATTGCATGTTCACGTGTCCATGCGCAACTTAAGATATTGTGGTGGCCTCCAGCCAGTGCCGCCGATCCAGGGCGCTCCGACAACGGACTTCCAACGATCGACGAGCGGGATAGTTACGACGACGACCGACGAACGAGGTAACGACGACGATTGACGATGACGGTGACGACGATGACGACGACGACGACGAAGACAAACACGAACACGAACACGAACACGAACACGACGACGACGACGACGACGACCAGGACTCGTGTCCGAGCAATACCACGTCATACCATGCACCGCTTGCCTGGCAGCACGCGAGTGAGCGCCTCTTGGGACCTCTGGGCTCTTGGGGGCTTCTCGGGGGCCTTCTTGGCCTTTCTGGGGCTTCTTGGGGTTTTCTTGCGGGCCTCTTGGAGATCTCCTCGGGCCCTAGGGGGGGCCTCTTGGGGTTGTCTTGGGCTCGGGGCCTCTTGGGATGTCTTGCGACGATCTTGGGGGCCTCTTGGACCGCCGTCGGCTCTTTGAAAACCGACAAGGTGATAATCTCAAAATGTAGCAAAAACCAGCAGGACTTTACGGTTTTAATGATTGTAGTGGCCTTCGGCCAGTGCCGCCGATCCGGGGGGCTCCGACTGATGTGATCCTTCTTCGCCCTCGTCCCTCCTCTCTTTTTCCCTCCCCTCCTCTCACTCAGCATTTATCGAAGACGCCTACGGCGAACCACCGCCGCCCCCTGCCTTTTTGGAAGCGCCTATGTGGCCGAACGTTGAGGCCAGACCTGCCAAGCCATCGGACCATGTGTTCCCCGAATCGGTTTGGAAAGCCTTCGGGGAACACGTGGGCATCTTGAAGGTCATCTTGGCCGTCTTGGAGGCCTCTTGGGCGATCTTTCGGCCATCTTTGGGGGCTCTTGGGCCGTCTCGGGCCGTCGGAAGGCCGAAAAGAAGGAAATGTCGAATCCGCCAAAAACCTCAGGAACATGAATGTGTTGGCCTCTTCTGGCCTTCCTGGAGGCCCTCTTGGGGGGCTCTTGGGCCGTCTTGGAGGCCTTTTGCGGGCCTTTTGGGCCGTCTTAGACCATCTTGAGGCCATCTTGGGCCGTCTTGGGTGCATCTTGGAGCCATCTTACCCATCTTGGAGGCCATTTTGGCCGTCTTGGAGGCATCTTGGAGGCCATCTTGGGCCATCTTGGCCGTCTTGGAGGCCATCTTGGGCGTCTTGGAGGCCTCTTGGGCCGTCTTGAGGCCCTCTTGGGGCCTTCTTGGGGGCCTCTTGGGCCGTCATGGGGCCATCTTGGAGGCCTCTTGGGTGCTGTTGGGGCGATGTTGGGGACCTCTTGGGCCGTCTTGGGCCGTCGGAGAGCTGAAAAGAAGAACATGCCAAAATCCTTGAAAAACCTACGGAAAATCAATGATTTTAACCTATTCGGGCCTTCCTGGAGGGCGTCTTGGAGGGCTCTTGGGCCGTCTTGGAGGCCTTTTGCCGGCCTTTTGGGCCGTCTTAGACCATCTTGAGGCCATCTTGGACCGTCTTGGGTGCATCTTGGAGCCATCTTACCCGTCTTGGAGGCCATCTTGGCCGTCTTGGAGGCATCTTGGAGGCCATCTTGGGCCATCTTGGCCGTCTTGGAGGCCATCTTGGGCGTCTTGGAGGCCTCTTGGGCCGTCTTGAGGCCCTCTTGGGGCCTTCTTGGGGGCCTCTTGGGCCGTCATGGGGCCATCTTGGAGGCCTCTTGGGTGCTGTTGGGGCGATGTTGGGGACCTCTTGGGCCGTCTTGGGCCGTCGGAGAGCTGAAAAGAAGAACATGCCAAAATCCTTGAACAACCTAAGGAAAATCAATGATTTTAACTCAGCGCACAGACGTTGGCGTTATCGAAGACGCCTACGGCGAATCACCGCCGCCCCCTGCCTTTTTGGAAACGCCGATGCGGCCGAAAGTTGGACTAGAGCTTGGCCAAGCTATCGGACCATGAGTTCCCCGAGTCGGTATGGAAAGCTTTCGGGGAACACATGGGAGAGAATGATTATGAACAGGAAGAGGAAGAGGAAACAATAGAGTAGGAGGATGAGGGTTGTTAGGAGTCGCTTGGGGCACCCTTGGGGTCTGTTGGGGGCTTCTTGGGGGCCTCTTCGAGGCCTCTTGGAGGCATCTTGGGGGCCTCCTTGGGCCTCTTGGGGGCCTTTGGGGGCTTCCTGGGGGTCTCTTTGGCCGTCTTAGGGCGTTCCTGGTCAGTCTGACGCCGTCTGGAGCCGTCTTGGGGGCCTCTCTGGGCCGTCTTGGGGCCCTCTTGGGGCGCTTCAGGGCCGTCTTGGAGGCCATGTTGGGCGTTTGGAGGCCTCTTGGGCCGTCTTGGGGCGCTCTTGGGGCCGTCTTGGGGGGCCCTTGGGCCGTCATAGGGCCTTCTTGGAGGCCTCTTGGGCGATCTTGGGGGCCTCTTGGGCCGTCGGAAGGCCGAAAAGAAGAAACCGCAAAAAACCTTCAAACACCTAAGGAAAACCAATGATTTTGGCCTCTTCGGGCTCTCCTGGAGAACGTCTTGGAGGCCTCTTGGGCCATCTTGGAGGCATCTTGGGGCATCTTGGCCGTCTTGGAGGGCATCTTGGGCCGTCTTGGAGGCATCTTGGAGCCATCTTACCCGTCTTGGAGGCCATCTTGGCCGTCTGGGAGGCATCTTGGAGGCCATCTTGGGCATCTTGGCCGTCTTGGAGGCCATCTTGGGCCAAGTTGGGGCAACAAAGGCATTGACAGACGGATTTTGGGAAAATTACGGGTGGCCGGCGGGACGGGCCGAAGCCCAAGGGGGGAGTTATTTTAGAAAAAGAACATAATACCAAAACCTGACAACATTCCAGCACGCCGTTTGCACCCCTGTGGCAAGACACAGGGGGCGCGCGGAACGCTTGGCGTCTATGGAGACGCATACGGCGACATCACCGCCGCCCCCTGCCTTTTTTGGACGCGCCTATGTGGCCGAACCGTTGAGGCCCAGACCTGACACAGCTATCGGAATGCACAGTGTTCCCCGAATCGGCTTTGAAAGCCTTCGGGGACAACACCCCCGTGGGCATCTTGGAGGTCATCTTGGGCCGTCCCCTTGGAGGCCTCTTGGGCAAGCTTTGGGCGATTTTTGGGGGCTTTTGGGCCGTCCGGGCAGCACCTTTTCTTTTTTTTCTTCATCTTTCTTTTTTTTTTTTTCTTCGAGCCAACTTCGGCCATCTTGGTGGGTTCCTGGCACGTCTGAAGCCGTCGGAAGCCGTTTGGGGGGCCTCTATGGGCCGAATTGGGGCCCGCTTGGAATGCTCCAGGGCCGTCTTGGAGGCCATCTTGGGCGTCTGGGAGGCCATCTTGGGCGTGTTGGAGGCCTCTTGGGCCCTCTTGGGGCCCTCTAGGGGCCATCTTGGAGGCCACTTGGGCCAGCATGGGGCTCTCTCGGGGGCCTCTTGGGCGATCTTGGGGGCTTCTTGGGCCGTCTTGAGCCGTCGGAGAGCCGAAAAGGCGCAAATGCCAAAATCCTTCAAAAACAAAAGGAAAATCAATGATTTTGGCCTCTTCGGACTCTCCCGGAGGACCTCTTGGAGGCCTCTTGGGCCGTCTGGGAGGCGTCTGGGGGGCCTCTTGGGCCGTCTTGGGCCGTCTTGGACTCTCTTGGGCCGTTTTGGAGGCCGTCTTGGACCATCTCGGGCGGACTTGGAGGCCATCTTGGGCCATCTTCGCGATTTATTGAGGATGTCCCGAGCGAAACGGCCGTTTTTGGGCATTGACAGATGGATTTTGGGAAACGCGCGGGTGGCCGGCGGGACGGGCCGAAGCCCACTGGGGAGTTCTTTTAGAAAAAGAACCAAAACCAAAACCTGAATCGTCAAGCACGCCGTGCACCCCTGTGGCAAGACCACAGGGGGCGGCGGATCGAAGACGCCTACGGCGAATCACCGCCGCCTCCTGCCCTTTCGGAAGCGCCGATGCGGCCGACTGCTGTGGCCAGAGGTCTGCCAAGTTATTGGGCCATATGTTCCCCGAATCGGTCTTTACAGCCTTCGGGGAACACGTGGGGGAGGACGGGGAGGAGAGGAGAGATAGGAAGGGGGGGGAATGGAGGAGGAGGTCTCTTGAGTGCCTTTTTGGCTACTCTGGGTTTATATTGGGCCACATGTGCGGTCTTAGATGCCAAAATCCTTCAAAAACCTAAGGAAAATCAATGATTTTAACCTATTCGGGCCTTCCTGGAGGGCGTCTTGGAGGGCTCTTGGGCCGTCTTGGAGGCCTTTTTCGGGCCTTTTGGGCCGTCGTAGACCATCTTGAGGCCATCTTGGGCCGTCTTGGGTGCATCTTGGAGCCATCTTACCCGTCTTGGAGGCCATTTTGGCCGTCTTGGAGGCATCTTGGAGGCCATCTTGGGCCATCTTGGCCGTCTTGGAGGCCATCTTAGGCGTCTTGGACGCCTCTTGGGCCGCCTTGAGGCCCTCTTGGGGCCTTCTTGGGGGCCTCTTGGGCCGTCATGGGGCCATCTTGGAGGCCTCTTGGGTGCTGTTGGGGCGATGTTGGGGAC